ACGGCGGTGGCGGATGCATGAGCGAGAGCTACGTCAGCCCGAGACCAAGGGTCCGACCGACCGACCGACCAACCGACCGACCAACCAACGCCTCCTCCTGCCATCGCTGGTCCTTTCTCTGTCTCTGTCCCTTTTTCCCTCCTCCAAGCTTTCTCACTCTCTTTCTCTCTCTGTTTCTACCACCAAAGGAGTAAAAAGGAGAAGGAAACCTAAGTGGTTCTCAATAAGTATCTTGTAGAAAATAACTAAGCTATTCTCCATCTAATATCGAGAACCCTTTTTTAAATGTTGTGATAATATCATCCTCGACAATGTTTCATATATATGGATAATTCATAATTTTGAAAAGGCTCTGATGTATAAAATCAGGTATGAGGGGAGACTAATAAGAGTAAGGTGCTTAAATTGAAATATTATGAAATAATTAGTGAAGAATTTAAAAACAAGTTTGTTCTGCCTAATATATCTACGCCTATATATATATTAATGTTTTTCTAATAATTATAATTAGATAGAAATTCGACAATGAAAGAAACATTATTTAAGGTATCTTGGGATAAGAGAGAGTAGCAGTTTATTATATTATTTCTTGCATGAACCATCAATGTTATACAATGACTAACAATGTAGTCGTATTATATTATCAACTTTTAGTAACGTTCCGTGTGATTTTCTCTACATTCTGATCTATACTAAAAAAAAAAACCTGCGCCGCCGGCCGAGCAATTGTAATATAATATCGTCGCGTAATTATTGTAAGAATTCCTCTTTCGCGAATAATATTATTCGGGGGAGCACAATAAAGGGATATATAATTTTCTCCTCTGTTCTACACTGTCGTAGAAAAAAAGGGCGAGGCGGAAAAAGGGAGCGTTTTCGCGAGATTTGTGAAATTGCTGTATAACTTTTGTGCCACCTTTAACACGCTCTAACTATCGATCCGAGCGTCACGTCACGACAATCGAGAGTCCTTCGTCCGCCGTGCATCTCGTTTCTCTGAAGGAATCAACAAAAGAACGGCATTCGAGCGTGCTAAAAGGCGAAGAGCGTAGAACGGAGAATGACAAATAATTTGCAGACAGCAGTGCGGAGATATCGTGAAAAATTAAAACACTGGAAATATGAGAACCTCCGTTCACTCTTTTCCCCTCCCTCTCCCCCTTTCCACCCCGCCCGCCTCCTTCATACCCCGACCCACCCTCCGTAACACGGGGTGGCTAGGAGGGTTTAGGGTGGAAGGGGGGGAGAGTAGGGAAAGGGAAGGGAGGTGGGTCGCGTACAACATTGTACAAAAGTCCGCGTCACCTCTCGCGCGGTACAATCGATGCCAAAAGTTCACGTATACTTATTTTATTCCGTTCTCGGACAATGCGCCGGAGATACTTATAACATGGGGAGAAGGGGAAAAAAGAAGAGGGAGAAACACATTTTATCCCGGCTAATTTATCTTACTGCAATTTCTCTATTCCTCCTCTTCGGCTCCAAGTGCGTGTACTCGCTCTCTCTCTTTCTCTCTCTCTTGGACAGAAGAGAGAGGAGGAAGAAAGTGTTAACTTAAGTTGTGACAGGTGGACGATTATTCAACGTCCACGAAATTATATAGGGTTACCCTATAATTTATGTAAGTTAATTAAGAGTGGACAGGAATTAAAATTTATATTAGTGCGAAACTGCATCGCACGATTTTGTCGTTTCAATTTCATAAATTCTTCGCAATGGCGCGTCGCCGCGCCATCATCTCGACTACTTTATAATCTTCGCATATATCGCTAATTAGAATGATTAAAGGCAATCTATCGTGTCTCCGAGATGTGGTGGAGCTGATTAATGACACGCGCGACTCCCGTGCACCGCGAGGCTATAATAAATTCCATCTAGATGCGCGCCGATGTCGATTATGTTCCTAGTGCATTAATTCTTACTCGTAAAAAAAAAATTCTGATAATTCAATATACGTTATTGCACGCTATTAAATCAATTTTACATCGTTACAACCATAAATTTGCGCAAGTCGACAAAAAGTCTTTTAAAAGAAATATTTTCACGATTAGCTTAATCAATTTAGCGTTTATTAAGTGCGGTCTTCCGTTGAAAAAAATCGATAATTTTCGTTGCAAAACTTGCGACATATTTACTTAATTACACGATGCAAGAGCGTTATTTATCTCACGGCGCATAATCTAGCATCACTGTAGTATCTATACCTATGGGATATATTAATTTTCATCAAAAGATCATTTTCACATGCATTTTTAATCCAGAAAGAAACAAACGGCATTTGACTTGTGATATTAATTTCCAAAGGCCTCTCGCGATGTTACGGGAAATGAATGTGTGCACCACCCACGTTACGCGCCTTCGCAAGCAAAACTTCCTTTTTAAGTTACGTTTATTCGCGGCTCACCTCATTTCGACCCCCTCGGGAAAATAGAGGAGAGCTTATAGCATCGTACGCTAATGATGTTGTTCTACTTCCTTCGCATTCTTCATCGACGTACTACCGAACACGATCCCTCAAAGTTGAGCTACATTTTCGGAGCGAGCCGATATCGAGTATCGTTATCGAAATACATTAAAGCACACATATATATTATGAATATATTTATAAAATGTCAAAGGTTATAAAAATGTTATATATCAATATAGTGTGTATTTCGCGCGATTTTATATTTTACTCTTTTTAAGTTTTAAAATAATAACGCAAAAATCTTTCTTTAACTATCAAGTAAATATCAAAAGTCAACGTTTCATTCCGCGGAAACTTTAGACAGCATCAAAGAATATAATTTATACTTTTGAAATTTTATGCACAATTCTTTCGATGTAAAATCTTTATGATAATAAATGAGTATTCAAATTCTTCTCGAAATTCGCCATTGAAATGTCGGGATTTTTCCAAACGTTCAATGACTTAGTATTGATTTATATATATAAATATATATTAATGCACATTAATAAATATTAATATAAATTAAATTATATATTAATATTATATACATTATTATATTATATACAGTAAAAGATAGACATTTCTTTTTTGCAATTTCCATCGACTATTTACGATTTTCTCGCTGCGAAAAGTCGCGTTCCTTTGCGTTACTCCTCGCGTACCGCGTCTGTTTGACGCAATCGGTTCGGCGGTTTGCCGGAATTTAGAATATTCCGCACACACCGATGAGCACACATCGCGCGTTCGCACCCACACCGTGCACGCGGACACGTGCGACGCGCACACGCGTACAAAGTACACGTATAAACGTACGTGTCGCGCGTGTTCTTGGTGGGTATCGCGAGCGAATCTATACGTCGCGACCACACGTTTCCATCGAACGTGTCCGTGCCTAAAAATGTGGCCCAGGTTTACAGTACGGTATTAACTCGGTGTGTACCTATGCGCCACGTGTTGGTATGTATATGTATGCATACCGATAACTATTAGAGTCCTAACGGATTTTTTTTCACCGATCCATCTCGCATTCCGGTTTCATCGTGGAAATTTCGAATAATACGTTCCGCCTCATTCCGCCTCATTCGACCGATCGAACCGGGTCGCGTAACAGTCCCGGACGCTTGTTACAAAACTATTCGAAAAACTGGTTTCTGCCGTTCGAGCGAGCAACCCCGTATATATGCGTTCCATCTATCTATCTATCTATCTATCTATATATATATATATATATATATGCGCGCGCGTCTCTGCTGCGATTTGTGCACGGACGTTCCAAGTGTATGATAAGTTGGTCGACGACAACTCGTTGCAAACGATTAAGACGATCCTAAATGCAAGTGTGCCCAAACACAGGACTATCAGTAAGAATGCGGACCGACCAGAAAACGAACAATAAATAACCGAGCTACCTGTGGACCATGTTATCTAGGAATGTCAACGCACAACGACATAAGCGATATAAGTGCACGCTGCTCTCTTATCTCGCGTATCATTGTCGTACCATTACTTTATCTTCATTTTTTTTAAAGAGGTATATCATTTTTTTACAACGGATAACGCGCAAGGTTTCTACCAGAATTGTTGGAAGTTTAAGTATATTTACGTTTTCAGAAATTTATGTAGATTTTTAGATTAATATTTTTTTCATTTTTTTTTACCTAATTTTCTCTATTTTGGAAATTTTAGAAAAGAATTAATATAAAGAAAAATGATTACATATTTAAAAAAAATATTTCTGTAATTTTCTTAAAGACAAAAATAATATATAGTTATTATTATGGTTCACGCTATTATATTATTAAATAATTATTAATATAATTTTCATTGTTCATAAATTATTATTTACGCAAGATCTATAGATATGTGAAATAGATTTCCCCGGTAAATGTACCACGGATACATTGATTTACTACGATAAAACATAGATTGTAAAGTTTAACGTCGATGTTTCCCAAACACAACAATTTGCATTCTCTAACCCAAAATTACTGCAAATCAGAATAATGGCAACTTTCACTGCGATTAATAATCATTAGTGCAACCGCTGCTCTGCGTTCAACTTTCCCTACAAATCGCGCTCCATTTCTCGATGCATAAAATCTTTTCAAAGTTTTCTATATAATTATAGAAGATGCGTCTTAATTGAAAATAATATGCTTTAACGTCCACACAAATATATTTATAATAAATTTTATCGCATTTTTATTCGCACAAATAGGAACAATATTTGCGCGTTTTACGCTCTTGATCAAACTTAATCGCTCGCTTCGATCAGTAAACGCGCGAGTCTCGATCATCGATTATCCAAACATCAAAAATTATACATGCAAAGCAAAAGCGAGTAAGGACTCTATATCTCAATATCTATGAAAAACGCAAACATCTTCAACAAACATTATCGCATCGCATATATCACGAATTCGATCGTGACAATTATTTTACATATCTGAATGTCGAATATAGAACAATTACTCGCTTCGCAAAATTGGAGTAAAAAAAAAAAGAAGCACTCACCCTTGATCCAATCTATCAACAGGTCCGCCAGGTCCCATTATCGCCGGATGTCCTGGACCCATGGGTCCCGCCATAGGGTGGCCTCCCGGTCCAAAGGGACTTCCAGGTGGTATACCGTACTGCGGTCCTCCGAACGGTTGACCATGCGAGGGAAAGTGTGGATTACCGGCACCCGGTGGTACAAACGGCGGCCCCGAGGAACCGGGTCGACCGACGAATTGCGGGGGCGCGCCGGACGGCGAACCGAACGGACTGGGCCCGGGCCCGTTGTACGGCGGACCGGTGTTATTCGGGGGCGGCGGGAACCCGGTGGAATTTGGCGGCGGTCCGGGACCGGGGGTCGAGGAACCGCTCGGCGCCGGGGAAGCGGTGTATTGCGGCGTAGCCGAACCGGGCGGGGTCCTTGATAAGGCGGTGCACCGGCCGGACTACCGGCACTGCCGGGAAACGGACTCGGACCTTGGAAACCCGCATTGCTAGGTGGACCGCCCGTGTTGTTGTACGGACCCGAGCCAGGACCACCGCCCTGACCGACGGAATTGGGCGTAAAGGGCGATGCCTCTGAACCGGGCGGCGGGCCCTTCCAGGAGGCTGGCGTACCCGGATCCTCCAGCGTGGTGGTGGCTGCCAATGGCGTATTCAGGCGGCTACACCCTGTAAAGAATAATACAGTTCAGTTTCAATTATTTTCACATCATTAATTATAAATGCTTACTGTAATTATTTTACATGCTAATGTTACATATTGATTATACATATTCTATATTGATTTGTCAATGCAACTTTAGTAATTCAATAAAACAATGAGAAATAATAAAAAAATTTAAATGTGAACAAGAATGCAAGATTGTAGCTGCGTACTGATTCAAGTGACACTTTCATGCTTAATATAATTATTATACATGTTAAGTGTTACATACCGATTACATATTCTGTATTAATTTATCAAACGCAATTTTAGTGACTCGATAAAAAAAAATGGGAAATAATAATACAAAAAGTCACAATGTGAAAAGAATTGTAACACACTCTGCGTACTGGTTCAAATAATATTTTCATAGGATTGTCAATCGCAGAACATGTACTATGATATATAAAGTGATTGCAATATATGTTAGCGAAAGCATTGCTAACTAAACGTACTGTTTTAACGTAAGAATTCAAATTCAAAGGTTAGATTACTGCATTTTAGAGTTAATAAATCCACTTGTTTCCAACAATCTTAATTGTATCATACTCATAACAGAAAAAGTAATTGAGAGCAACTAGTACAAACTGTCACACAAATAAACCTTGCGTACTACATAAAGATTAAATATCTCATGTACGCAGACAACTATGCATCATGAAGAACCTCATCCTATCCAAATAACAATGTGATACGCAAATATCTATCGTAGACTACTAATTCTCTCATACAGACTAAAGTCAACGAATTCGACACAATTCCAGACATAAGAACACATATACGAGAAAATCACCATTGTTTGTCCCATTCGCCTTCATTGTCCCTTGGTCTCAGCCAGTTCATTCCATCTCACCGATCACCCAATGCGCGAATATACGAAGCAATACGTAAACCGGACGAAGTCGACGCACCAATTGGTTTGGATCCTCTCTCGCGAACGACAATCCCGCGGATAAATAGGCGCGACGCACTGGCACTCTGGTACCGCTTTAAGGTTATGTGCCGGTACACCTAACCTACACGCAGTAGGCGAGACGCTTGACGTCCAGCCGGCTCGCGACGAAGGCACACCAACTGTCAAACTCGCTGCTTCAGGAGTCCACGGCGACGTCGTTCGTCGTCGGTCGCGACACCCCGCGCACGGTCGCGAACTCTCGGTGCGGTAGCAATATCGGCGGCGGCAACGACAACAACAAGGGCGGCCGCCGCGTCGCCGGCATTTTTCCAACGATCGTCGATCCACTGCTGACGTGCTGCGTGTCGCCGACTCAGGACGCCAAGGTGGCCGGCGCGCGTTCGTGCTTCGCTCGCGCATTCGCTCCCGGACGCGTGCACTGCTGCGACATGACGTTAGTAACCATTCATCCCCCGTGTCGTCACATTGCAGAAAAGTTCACGACGTTCCAAACACAAGAGCGACCCCGCGAGTGCGCCCGCCCGCGCGCGCACGCGCTCTCTCTCGCTCGCTCTTTCCCTCTCTCTCTCTCTCTCTCTCTCTCTCTTTCGTCCGATGGAGAAAGAGAGAGAGAGGGAGAAACCGCCGGCGTTGTACGTGCGAGAGAGAGAGAGAGACGAGACGAATCAGACCTGAGCGCGAATAAACACCACCGAAGTCAACAGACGAACTTTGCGGCCAGGAATGTAACTTGAATAAGATGGCGCCCTAAATGTCATTCACGACATTCACGCGAATACATGCGTATACCCTCGATTAACTCTGCAAGTAAAAAAATTCACACCAAAAATTCACTTATTTGTGATTCTCGAAAAATAAAAAAATAAAAAAAAAAAGAACACTTCACTAGGGATTTTTGTATGAAATCGGGGGACGTTGAATCGCGAGAAAATTCGCGTCACTGTACTACGTTGACAACCATTATTCGTAAACACTCGCCAAGAGACAGTCATTCCACGTCATTACGGCGACAACGATGACACTTATAGGGGGAAATGCACGTACGCACGTGCGCCAGGAGTGTAACTAAACCACGCACGCACCCCCTCGCGGACACCACGTGTTCTACCCTCCTTTTCTCTTCCTCTCTCTCTCACCCCTCTCCGTTTCTCGCAACTCACGCCCGAGTGTCAACTGGATTTCTTCCTCGGTCGCAGACGATAATTGCTATTCCACTCGAGGATGTCGAAAAGGTCTGCCATTTTTCCGCTATTTTACTCCGTCCTTTTGAAACGTCAAACGTTACGATGACAGTCGACGGGGACGCGGCTGATCGCGGCGGAGCTTCGTCGTCCGCTCGCTCGCGAGATCTAGCACCCCCGCGGAGAAACGTCCGTCGTTCTTCCACCTCCTCCCCTTCTCGGCCCCTTCCTCCGCCGCGTGGTTTGTTGTTTCGCGCGACCACCTCGCCGCCGGTCTCGCGCGAATGGCGCCGCGCCACGCCGGCTCGCGTCACCGCCAGGCGTCGCGTCGACGTGCGTGTGTCGCCCCTTCTTTTTTTCTCTCCCTCGGTCCTCCCTCCCGAACGGCGATCACGATCGTCGCGAAAAAACGCACCGACGCCTTGCCTCCGCACTGCCGTTGAATCGTCGACGGTCGTCGGAGATATTCCGCCCGCCGCAAACCTCGCCGGGTATATCGATTGTCACTCGCGCGCGCCGCGCTTCGCGGCTAATTTCACGGCTAATGTCCTCTCTCGGGACGGTCGCTCCTTCTTTCGCGATTTCGACAATCTCGTCCTCGACAAGTGTCCTTTTTTTTTTCTATTCTCTTTTCTCTCTCGCGTTGCTTCTAATAATTAATCATTATGTTTCGAGAGGAGGGATTTTTTTTCCTCCGACGTCGATCGAGATTTTTGAACTCGAATTCGCGAAACACACGCGCGTTATGTCATTCCGACGCGGTAATTTCCGATCGATTAAACAAGAGGAAACTTTGGCAACGCGGTGTCGCCTGTTGCATGCGAGCGACGTCGTGTGTTATACGCGTGTGGAGCCGATGGTCGTCCAAATTCGCGAATGTCACCTGGTGAACCCCGACATTAGATCCGCCGTTGGATGGATATTTTAATATTTCACGAAAATCCTCCCTTCGCGCACTTCACTTCTCGAGCACGCAGCGCTCGTATAAGATTACTCTCCAACGTCTTGGCGATTATTAAATTCCGGGCCGAGAGAGAGAGAGAGAAATTCAAGTCGCAGCTACGACTCCAAGCGCTCCCAATTCTTCCGGTCACACCGCGCGAGTTTCGGAAACGATCCCGTGATCGCGAATCGCGAGCGAGTACGTGGAGAAAGGGGTAGCCACGTTTTTCCCCCTTCACGCAGCAACTCGTACGTCACTCGCGTCTGGCAGCGCGACGCCTATCCGGGAGAGCGGAAAAATGTCGGGTGGGAATAAAAGAGAAATAAAAAAAAAAGGCTATGAAGAGCGAGGAAGAAACGACGATCACTACCACGGGGGAATTTGCCGTCGTCGCTCGCATCCCCTCCCCCCGGCGTCTCCCTCGCGTTGTTTCCAAGGTGCCAAACCAGCCGCGTGTCGAGAGTGACGCGTATGATCCCGTCAAACACAAAGATGCGTCAAAGACGAAGAACGTTTGCGCGCGATCGAGTTACGAGAGGCACGCCGAGAGCACGCTCCCCACGTGGAGCATCTCTCCCACGGAGTTACGGCCCTGCACCCCGAGAGAAAGCTGCACCCCCCGACCGCAACGGGACTGCGCCGCGGTTCCCCTTTATTCCGTCGGCGTCGCCGTCGCCAACCGTCGACGACGACGCACGAACGGCGGAAAAAACGTCGCGCAGCCTCGCCCGTGGGTGCGCGTATCGGCTAAGCCTCGGGCGATCTTGGGGCAGTCGTCGACGGTATACACGTGATCTCGTCCTAATAATCGACGCGCGACGTCGTCGACGGGGAATCGAAGGAAGACGCCATCTCCCGCTTGTCACCGGGAAATCGAAGGAGGACTCGACGCGAGCTTCTATATACGCGTCGCCTTTTTTTTTTTTTTTTCTTTTTTCGCCCGGTTCGTGCGGCTGTCGTTTCAAAGTCGCCCGTCGCGGGGGACTCGACACTCGCCGCCGGTTGACAGTGTCACCCTAAAAATCAATAAGGGGTTCACCCCCGGCCTTGCCCGCTCTCCTCCTTCTCCTCCGACTCTCCTATGCGACTTCTCTCCGCGTTTCTGCTCGCTCTCTCGCTCTCTCGTTTCCTACCTACGTATCTATCTATGTATCTACCTACCTACCTACCTACCTAGCTATCTACCCCAGGAACGTCGACAGGGGGGTCAACCGGTCACAGAGGTTACGACAGACGGCGTGTCATTCTATCAAACGATGATGCGAAGCTGATTCCACACAGAGAGAATTTTCTCTTAGAATTTACCCTGAAAATCGTGGTAATCGTGAGACAATATATGTAGTATTGGAGGAATTCTATAAGAGTTTCTTCTGAAAAATATTAATATCTACCGCAATAATATATGAAATATGTTGGATTAATTTTACTATGTATATGTATATTAATATTTTTTATTGTGGTAAATATTAATCGGAGAAACTCTTATAAAATTCTTTCAATACCTTATACCATGATTTTCAGGATAAATTCTAAGAGAAAATTCTCTCCAGGATTATTCTATCGCAGGAAATATTTTCTTATTTCGAGAATGAATAAGATGTTAAAAACATTCAGTCGAATCATTACGAAGAAATCTGAAAATCACATGCAATAATTGCATTGCATTTCATAGAGACAACCGAATTAATTTAATTTGCTCTCTACTTATAAAAATGTAGAATATTTTCAAATAAAAGTTACTTAGAATTTTTCTCAAGAAGAGAGAAAATTCTTGAAAATTAATTTGCTTCGTAAGATATCGTTAAAAAAGATTTATAAAATTCAAATGAAGTACTCGGGTACTTTGATGTAATATTATGAAAATTCAGTGTTGCAAATCCTACTGAAAAATTTAGTCCGCATGATAGTTCGCGTAAAATTATCAAA